ATGGTTCAGCAATACTACTATCTCTTATCAACTCTTGAAGATGCTGTGGTTCAGCAATACTACTATCTCTTATCAACTTTTGAAGAGGCTGTGGTTCAGCAGGATATACACTCCTGTCTCTTTTATCAACTCTTGAAGAGGCTGTTTATTTTCATCTATTCTTTCTTTTGATTTGATATTATATCATTTGTTTCAAAATATTTTCTCATTTCCTACTTTTGAATGTTCCTTTTAAAATCAAATTTTGGTAAATTGATGTCAAAATTTTATATATGCATATACTTTTTCTAAGAGCGCAATTTTCCTCCATCCCACAACCAAAATTCATTTTTCTTCATTTCAACTTTCCATAAAAAATGCATGCACAAAGACGGATCATTGTTACTTTCTTTTTTTTGCAACTATTATTTTGATAATAGATGGATTTGAAACTCTAGATTTGTTGAATAATTCGAAAATCAGAAATGACTAAACGATCGACAAAAGGTCGTTTGAATGATGGCGGCAAAAAGTTACGTTTAGCAAGGCGAACAACAACAACAACGACAGTGTCACCAATTGCTTGCCTTCTGGAATGGGATTCTGCTGAATGCCAAATTTTTCATCTCAAACGACCATTGTTTGCACCAAATTTGGCATATTCGAAAAACAAATATGGTCCTCTACAGAAATAGATGTTTTATTTTTCTTTACTTTAGAAGGATATCCAATTTTTGGTCTTAAAATTGAAATTTTCAGCATACTGTCTACAAGGACAATTAAAGGGAATAAAAAAAGAAGTTTCAGATTCAAAAGAATAAACTTACAAACTTGAATACTGTAATGCAGAAAGGGGAAGGATTCTGTTATCATTACATGAAGTATATCATTTTTACCTAACTGAATTCTATGTAATGTACTATTGAAGGAATAAAGAAGAATGGATCGGATAAGCTTAATTAGATAAGTAAAGAATATATCAGCAGAGAGTGAAATAAATTTGCTTACTTCCTATGCAAATTTTCTTTTTCATTTAAATAAAATTAAATAAATTAAGAAATTCAAAAAGTAAAAATTAATTAAAAATCAAAATGAATAGCAAAATTTGATTGAAATTAATCAACCAAATATCACAAAGTCAAACTTATCAACCATTGCTTATACTAAATCCAATTGTTTCAAATCGGATCAACTTAATATGCCATAGTCTCATTTGTCTTGCAGGCTTGATTACGCCAGTTTTGCCAATATCACAAATAGCTGAGGAGAGTGTCGAATCAAAATCATTACCAATAGCATTGTTGACTACATCTGAAACGATTGCAACAACAACAACAGCTAAAACAGTTACTTCAACCGGAATTACGATAGCACAACTGGAACAACCTGAGAATTTGGCTCAGGAACAGGAATATCATCAAGCTACAGTAAACGGTGAGTTCACTGAGCGCACTCACACGTTTCTTTCTACCACAATTATCACCACTACTACTACTACTACTACTATTACTACTACTATCATCACTACTGCTACAACACATATCAGCACCACTACAACCATCATTGATACCTCAACTTTTAGCCTTTTTCAAAAACATGATATCAATGATGGCATATTTGCTATTCCCAAGACAAATAGTAACCGTAAAGTGCTGACACCATCATTGTTCCGTTTTGATATCGATGAGGATAACGATAATGACGATGATGACGACGACGATCGTTTTGCATTCTTCTGGCCAACTGTTTCACCTTTTCAAACGCAAACTGCAATTATTTCCTCTCCTCAGATAAAAAATCTGGAAACATTGTCACCGGTGACATTCCGTATAATTCCTGCAAACACTTTTCATTGGAGTGATAGCACAACAGAAGGTTCTTTTCAGAGTTTAACAATGCAAGAAGGTTATAGGTCAAACGAGGACAAATACGGGAAACTCGTCAATCCTACATCGGCTACGAACACGCACCTTTTATCACTAATAACTCGGAATAACATTAGCCAGCATGAGTATGGGAGCTATACCGATGATTATTCTGGGTATCATTATCGTTCTGATAAAATATCAGAGTACAATAGCAGCTATCAGGACGGCAAGCATAAACATGGTTATCCGAACAACAATCGGAGCTATTTTCGGCACCATCGCACTAATCCAGAATGTAACAATTATCCCAATGCTAATTACTCTAATTGTCGTGATGCTACTATAATTAGCACTTTTCCAACATCATTGTCACCTCGTGTTTCATTTGCTTCTAGTGCACCACTATCTTCCTCCAATATGACCACCAAAATTATGCAAATTTCTAGTGCTATGTCGCAGCAATCTAATCGAAATTATTTTGAAGATTTATGGAACGATATTGCTGGACCACCAGCTGTTATCATAGATAGCGATCAGAAAGAATCGAGAAATAAAGGAACAACGACAATATCTCCTACTTTTACCAATATCATTAATAGTAATCTATCAACCAGACCTTTAACCTTTGCCACCTTATATACGCAACAGTCAACACAACAATCTGTATCATTACATGATAAGACAACGCCTCGTATTGATAAAAGTTTGACGTCAACTGCGCCAAAAATAACAACTTTTTTGCTGAATATTTCAACTAAATCGTCATTAGTAAATGACAATGCAAAAGAGGAAAAGAAAGAATTAAAAAGGCCAAAAGCTAAGAATTGGGGTAAGTTTAAATAGTAGAAAGTATGCGCTTTTCCATACTTTAACAGCTATAGAGTTTCTTAAATTTTTTTTCCTTCTACTGAAACACTTTTTTTCTTTTTAATTTAAACTTTCAACTTTGAACTTTATTGTTTTGCTTCAGCATGACTGTAATGTTTTTTTATTCAAATTTCTAATTTTTCATCAATTAGTAACTTGTCTTTTTCCTTTTTCTTTTTCCTATACTATTATTTATTTCCTTTTTTAGCACATTTAAATTGAACAATTAAAGTGAATGAGTGCAGTGAACAAGTCATAAATCATAATGAGGAAAAACAATGTTAGATATCAAATAGATACGATCAATGGAATAGGTGAATCAAGGCCTTGTTGTTTATTGGAATAGATAAATCAAGGCCTTGTTGTTTGTTGGAATAGATGAATCAAGGCCTTATTGTTTGTGTATTTGGTAATATATTTGTAGTTTATTCATTCCTTATTTCTTAAATTAATCAATTTATGTAAGATGAGAAAATTACAGGTGTTAATCATCACAAATCACAACAATTACTCACTGTACCCACCGTATCATCATCATCTACCATTAGACATCGTATTCGTACAACATTGGTAAGCCATACCATTTATGCAGTCAGACCAACTACTCCTATGGGTGAACATATCACGGATACAGTCAAGGTTTGTTATCTGATTAGCTTATCTTTTATCATTTCATTCTTTCGCCTTAAATCTACTATATTTATCATTATCGGGATTAAAGGAATGATTAAGAATGTATGCGGAAATTTTTAAAATGATAAAAGATAAGTGCAATCTGTCACATTGTCTCCAAACTTTTTTTTAGGTTTTATTTAAATTTTGAAATTATATCCAAATAAATTATACTTTTTTTACTTTAATTTACTTAAAGAACTTTTCATGTCTTCTTTAATCATTTCAGGCTCCTGCTACGCCAACAGATTTCCCACGTACGGCACTAATTTCAATAGCATCATTATCCGTTATCATTATCATTGCCATCGTTGTTTTCTGTGTTTTCAGGTAAGATTTTTTTTTGTTTCCAGGTGAGTTTTTTCCATTTAAATCCTTTGCTAACTCGGAAATCCTATTCTGTTATTCTGGTAGTAATTTGGTTTAAAATTCAACAAAAAATTTTAAAATTTGGCAATATCAAATGTATTTTTAATGTTATTTAAGAATTCTTTAAAGATTGATGACAAATATATTTCACTTTAAATATTAAATATCTCTCAAACCATAAAATTTCTTGTTTGTCTTCTTCCCTTATTTTATTATCCAATTTATATGAAAATATTGCCATTTTATTTGATTTGGGCACTTGGGCAAATAAAATTTTTTAAATTAAACTTTTTATTTGGTTTATTCAATTTTATTTAAAGACCTTAAGATTTTACTTTGAATAAATTTTATTTAAAGCTTTTTCTATTCAGTCCTTTTTTTACACATTACTTTCTAATTAATTCAGAAAGAGTGAAAAATTTGGCAAGAAAATTGAAATTTTGTTGCAGATGCAGGCAAAGTGGTCCATCAACAGATCAGTATCCAATGGTTTGTAGCGGTAAACAATCCGGTTATGCTCCAATACCGGCCGAATTGTCACCACCATTAATGCGCGAATCATCTCGACAAAATGCTGGTCCATTCTTTCATAATCGAGTAAATCAACTTGATGGTTATCAACCAATCAAAGGTGCTGTAATACCGAATGGAAATAATTTGATGACGAGTAATATCAAAGGTAATTGTGCATCAGCCATTAATGGTAGGAAGAAAGAATTTAAGGAATGGTATGTTTAGCTGTGATCTGATCGATAATTATAAAAAAACTCTATCATTCTTAAAAATGAATTTCATCTTTAACAAATTCAAATTCATTTATTTTTAATAAAAAAAAATGGTGCCATAAAATCTGAAAATGTCATTGTTGTATTACTTTAAGATAATTTCATTGTAAATCATATTTATTTATGGATATATCATACGTGAAATATTATTATTATTGGTTAGAAGTTAAGCAAACGTTGATTCAGTAATTGCACGTACGTTACGTGTGATCTTCCTTGAAGCCAATATCATTGGTAGCAATGATTTTCTGAAAATATTTAATTTTTGAAATTGAATCTTCCACATCGAAACAGATAGTTTTCAATTGATATGTTGCTTTTTATCTTTTCTTCCTTTCTTTTCTTTTTTTTTTGTAAAATTTTTAGTCTTAAAATTTTTTTGAATGTGAGAATAAATCTGGCACATTCCCGAAATGTTCTCTCAAATATTGTTGTTGTGCTTTTTTTTGTTCTCATTTTTCTTCCATATCATCTTTAGTTTCATTGTTTGCATTCTTTTGCCATTATTTTTTTTTTTTTTGAATGAATCCCTCATTAATTAATAATTATATCCTACTTTATTTTCCTTTCCCACTATGCTTTCTTCCTCAACCATTAATTAATTAATTAATTAATTCATATCTTCTCTTACAGAATTACTTCCTATTTTTAACAGAAAACGCAATCATTTCATATCTTTGCTTGTTTTTCAATTTTATCAAATTGAATTTATCGAAACATTCAATTTAACCAACTCCATGAAATCCTGAAAATGATTCCTTCTGGCTAACTCTTACCATTAGTTGATAATTTAATTAACGTCATTGTTGCAAAAAATTTGCAACCCGAAATGTGTAAAGTTATTTCACCTGAAATGCAAACATGCAAACATTGAAATGCAAACTGAAATGCAAACATTTCATTTGCATTTCTATTTCTTCAAATTTTGAAATGTAAAATAGTTTTGTTTAGATCTCAATTTTTATTAAAATTGTTATCCCTCCTCATATATTCCATTTTAAAAGCTTTTTTTCAGAATTGTCATTTTTGTTTTGGAATGTTTCTTTTTTTTCGTTTGCTAGATTAAGACTGATTAACTTTAACTCTTGGCTACAAAACACAGTTTGCAAGGAAAACAAAGAAGCGCAAATGGAAAATGCAAGTGGCGCTAATGACGGCAAAAATGAAATTGCTGAAAATTCATAATTGTAAATAATAATGCTTGCTAGAGTATAATTGTCGCTGTGTTCTGCCAAATACTAATCACTTCGGATAAGTTGTCATTCATTATCGCATACCTTAATTATTTCTTTTTCTTCGTTTTGTAATGGTTTGATAAATTATTGAAATGCAATAAATAAATATGCTTAACAAATGTTAATTGATCATGAAAAATGCTCTAATTATCGATTACCTGCAATCATTAAAATTTTTCCTGCTTTTATCCAAGTAATAATTAATTTTAAATGAAAAAAAAAGAGATTCATTTTCATACTATCTGAAATGAAAGATTTTTTCATAATTAAATCTTTCAATATAAAAGTAATTGTTGGTTTACATTTAAAATTGATATTTACTAAATGATAAGTCATATTCCAATGATTAATTTTACATATTTGATAATTGGATAACATGAATGTTAAAGCTGACTTCTTCCAATTTCGATCTATGGTTGATATAATGATTATTTCCGGAAATTACAACTAAAATGTTGGGAAAATTTGGAAATTTTTCTAAATTTTACATTTTTATTCGTAAACATACTTTTTATCCCCTGTGAAAATTGTTGGACAAATGTAAGAAATTAATTTCAAGGTTTTAAAGCGGTATGCATTAGGATAGTCGAAGCTGTCATGCCTGAAATAGTTAAATTCATTAAAAATCAATGATTGAACTGATAAAGACAAATGATATCATATTTTGAAAGATCAAAAAAGCACTATAACTATCTTTAAATGATCGTCAAATGGAATTTTCAAGAAGAAACAACTCTCCAATTCGTTGTTTCTCTCCGATCTGCTGTTATTGCTAATAATGTCCAAAATCAATACTGTTAAAGGAGACGTGGAATCAAATGATGATTTCCACATTTGAAATTAATTACTGGAAATGAATAATTCATTTTAAAGCACCAGATTATTCTATGAGTTTTAAAACAAACAAAATTTTGTTCTTTCCTTTTTTTATTTTTAAAATTGTAACTTGTATTAGACAAGCTGTCAATGTTGTTCGCTGCGGTGATAATCCATGTCAAATAGAACAATC